TCAGTGCTATCGGTGTGACCTCGTTGTTCAGCTGGTAGAGCATGCGCGTACAAAGCGTAGGCGGCATCCATGCCTGGGTTCGTATCTCATCGAGGCTACTGGACTTTTCGCAATCGACATACAGAGGCAGTAGAGTTTTATCCTCAACGGCGAAATCTACATTCAATAGCGCACAGATAAGATGCGTGTGTTCTCTACGTCACCAAACATCCGATGCTACAACAAAGATAAGCGGCCCATTTTGACCTCATCTACGATTGTCTACCAATTCAAGTGCACCTGTGGTACGACTTATGTAGATCGAACGACAAGACAGTTACCTCAACGGATCAAAGAACACAATCCACGCTGGCTCAATCGGGGTGGGAGTGGAGCTGTGTTGAACTCGATCGTTGCTCATCTGGTAGAGACGGATCACTTGGTTGACATGCGCTCGGCATTTACAATCATTTATCGAGTCTCACCACATCCCTCGAGAGCAATACAGTTTCGGACAACCGCAGAGGCGATTAGCATCCGACTCATGAAGCCTGAGCTATGCGCACAACTCAAATTGATCCAAGCTTTCAAACTCCCCTGGCCAGGGGAAGGGAAAATTGCTTGTTCACATGACCATGAAATCACACCATGATGTAACGACTTTGATTAGGTGATGCAAACTACGCACAAAATTTGAGTTCCCTTAGGCTCATTGCCAAACATATGACTCATTCACCTTTCTGTTTGACAGCATTGAAATTGTTTCATATAAATGTGATTGTAAAACCTTGAAAAGGAATTCACCGAAAACATATGTTCGTCTAAATTGTGTTCTCAATTCATGGATATATTCCGGGATTTGAATAGATAGATAGACAGATAGATAGATGGATAGATAGAGGTTTACTACCAAGGGGGAAGTTCAGCATGTAATGAAAGTATGGTAGTTGCTTATGTTGTTTCAGGTCACGACAACAAAATCTTTAACTCGGTGCTAAATTGAAGCTCACAGATATAACGGGGATGAAGAACAATTACAAACAGGCACGTTGGATTGATTTCATTTCATTCTCAATGCACTTGTGTTATGCTGGACGCGAGCAATATTTTATCGTGGGTGCTTGTATCTCACTGAACCTTTTTGGTTCATGGTGTTTTATTTACTTTGGCTTGCATGTTTATCTTTAACCCCGACTCACGGAGGACTTGTCTGACAGTGTTGCCTCGCCACCCCGTAGCCCAGTCTTATCATCTCCCTATCGTAGTTCCCTGGCCGTCGTTCGTAGCCCGTAAAGCCTCATATCCAATTGAACTGTGAGAATACGAGCTAAGGGAAATCCTGTCGCGTATCTCTTTTCACTCCGCTGCGCTCGGAGAGCCGGAAATACGTTCGCATTNCTTGTGGCGAGAGTAGCGCAGTCCGGTGGGCAGCTCAGGAGACCAGATTGATAATCGGCACTACAACGCGAACTAACAAGGCGAAGATGCAAAGATGCATGTCAATAGCACTACAACAATACACCATTAAAACTTGAAGCCAGGTGCAACAATAACACAGAATCAGCATTCTAAAACTTGAAATTGTTGCCAAACAACTGTAATACAAATCTGAATTACTCTTCGCTTGTCACAATACTCGACTGCCTTATCCACGTTAAAAATATACCATGCATTTCACTGAATAAGTATATTTTGGATCCGTTTAAAACAAAAAGCTAAATATATTACTATTCAAACCAGAGTTTTCAGGAAAGACTATTACTTTTCTCATTTTCAAATAATTAGAAAAGAATCAGACGTATTTTTATTTTCTCGAAAGGGTCACATTTGCCCGCTGATTGTTGGTTAATTTGCATCAAACCGGCTGAATTGTCTGCATCGATTTGTTCACTTGAGTGCAAAAGTCCTCATCATTATCGATTGACTCCATTAACCCGTTCAATTATTAAGCCAATGTTTTGCATGGACAGCCAAATCGATCACGGACAATCTGTTAGCATAGAATTCACAAAATTCGATTGATCTTCAGCGTTTTCACTGTCATATTTGGTAGGTTAGAAAAGTAGAAAGTGTGATTTAGTTTGCCAATAATATTTTTTATAACGGAACAAGCAATTTGTGGCGTTTAGAGAACATTGATCGTTAAAAACGCTTGCGGATAGTCTGTTTACGGAATCCTCTAATATTAATTATAGGGGTTAAATATAAAGCTTTTAAATGTGAATGAAGTCTTAAAAATATGTTTTTCCGCGATTCCCACTTCACCAACACAAGAAATGTGCGGGCAGAATTGATTTTGACCGTCAATTTCACGTTCTCTTAGTCAGAGCTTTAAACCTAAATACATACGACCATATAAAGTAGAATAAAAAAATACCGTCATCAACATCATCATCATCATCAACATCCAAGTCATCATCATCATCATAATCAACATCCAAATCATCATCATCATCATCATCATCAACATCCAAATCATCATCATCAAAATCATCATCATCCAAATCATCATCAACATCATCATCATCATCATCATCATCATCATCATC